GATACATTTTTTTGGGAGTCTCCCATTGTGATGCTTCCTGTTATCATCGTCTGAGTTTCCTTACCCTCCAATATTTTTTGGGAGTTTTCACTAGGAGTACCTGCAGCTTTCGGCATTTGCAGAAAGAGAGCTTGTACCTCATGAGCTAATATATGAATTTCCTTGTGAATATTCTTGATTGGTCTCAAAAATATTACAAGCTCTTCAATTTTCGCGCCAAGTCTATCAAAGCCATCTGTTTTCTTATTTTTACGAGGTGCTTCCACGTTTCTTCTTTCATATGTCTCTTTTTTGTTACAAGGGGGAGTTTTTTCCATGCTGTTTGTCCAAACTCAAGGCCGCTATCTCCATTCGTTGTGTAGTCGCGTCAGGATCCCATGGTTATCTATGCTTGCAGGGAGGCCATGCAGAGGGTTGACTTGAGGCCCTTATGAGGTTTCAAGCCAGTGCCGGACCCGAGTTAGTCGGGTAACATCATCCGAGCCTACACCACCAACTAAACGGTGACGAATTTTGAGCGCACCTTGAGACTTGCCAGGTTTTAATAGGAGGAGGCGGTTTTAGCATTAGCCTAGAAGCCATTTCCGTAGAGTTTCACCTCCAAGTACACAGGTTCTAGAATACTATAACCGTCAGCCCAGGGTTCATTAATATCAAAACGCTTTCCAGATATACCATAATTAAGATCTTACTGGTCTCGATCTTAATGCCATAAAGACGGGTTGTTATGTTTACTGCCGCCCCTCCTGGGGTCAGACGCAGACCAGTGAGCCGTCCAATATGGAACAGACGCTCCTGGATGTTTTGATTAGGGGAACCCACGAAGGCATCACTCTTCTAATTGCACCTCTCTTGAGGGCACCCCTGTCGGAGGATACTAGACTATAGACTAGACTATAGACTAGACTATAGACTAACTATAGCCTAGACTATAGACTAGACTATAGACTAGCCTATGACTAGACGATAGACTAGACTATGACTAGACTATGACTAACTATATACTAGACTATAGACTAGACTATAGACTAGACTAGACTAGACTATAGACTAGACTATAGACTAGACTATAGACTAGACTATAGACTAGACTATAGACTAGACTATAGACTAGACATAGACTAGACTATAGACAGACTATAGACTAGACTATAGACCTAGACTATAGACTAGACTATAGACTAGACTATAGACTAGACTATAGACTAGACTATAGACTAGACTATAGACTAGACTATAGACTAGACTATAGACTAGACTATAGACTAGACTATAGACTAGACTATAGACTAGACTATAGACTAGACTATAGACTAGACTATAGACTAGACTATAGACTAGACTATAGACTAGACTATAGACTAGACTATAGACTAGAACTATAGACTAGACTATAGACTAGACTATAGACTAGACTATAGACTAGACTATAGACTAGACTATAGACTAGACTATAGACTAGACTATAGACTAGACTATAGACTAGACTATAGACTAGACTATAGACTAGACATAGACTAGACTATAGACTAGACTATAGACTAGACTATAGACTAGACTATAGACTAGACTATAGACTAGACTATAGACTAGACTATAGACTAGACTATAGACTAGACTATAGACTAGACTATAGACTAGACTATAGACTAGACTATAGACTAGACTATAGACTAGACTATAGACTAGACTATAGACTAGACTATAGACTAGACTATAGACTAGACTATAGACTAGACTATAGACTAGACTATAGACTAGACTATAGACTAGACTATAGACTAGACTATAGACTAGACTATAGACTAGACTATAGACTAGACTATAGACTAGACTATAGACTAGACTAGACTAGACTATAGACTAGACTATAGACTAGACTATAGACTAGACTATAGACTAGACTAGACTAGACTAGACTAGACTATAGACTATAGACTAGACTATAGACTAGACTATAGACTAGACTATAGACTAGACTATAGACTAGACTATAGACTAGACTATAGACTAGACTATAGACTAGACTATAGACTAGACTATAGACTAGACTATAGACTAGACTATAGACTAGACTATAGACTAGACTATAGACTAGACTATAGACTAGACTATAGACTAGACTACAGACTAGACTGGTGTAGGTAATATGTAGACCGTTTTCTCCCCTATGATTAGCCTGCCTATCTGCCAGTGATTGCATGACAAACTAATATTTGTACATTGTTTACAATAGAGAGATGAGTCTTGGTATCCAAAGCCCTCCACTAAACAAGAGCCCTGTAGGTCAAAATAGGTCTTATGACCGCGGTGTACATCCAGTGTAAAATGTATGGTTCAAGACCCCATCTTTTACCAAAGGTTTACCATCCTACTGCGTCTGAAAAGGATTTTATTTACAACAAGATTCCACAGGAGTGGAGAGATTACACCACTTTATAGTGTGCCCCTTGTCACAACTTGGAGTAGCGCTGGGAATTTACATCTGACCCTGGAGATTGATTTTATAAGAACACCCCTCACGAAATTTTCTCCATACTAACAATTGATTTGAGAAGCTGCGAGGTTCTCCGAAGTGGAGCCTTAATTTTCATCATCTCTGCAACACATCAAGTATGAGTAATAGGATAAATGACTTGTATTTGGAAATTAGAAATTTATTTTATTATTTAAACATTCTACTACTTGCCACACTATGCCATACAGCATAGTTAGTTGAACTTTACACAAATACCAAAGGCCGCCGAAACATTTTTTACAAATATATCATTGCAATGAACTTATTCTATTTATTTATTTACAAGAAGGGATTTATTTGCAATTAATTTACATTGTTTCAGTTTTGATGATGCGTTGAGAGTTGTTATTCATGGATTGTTATATGTATATGACCCCCGATGCTATGTATCAAAATAATTAAACACACATTAAAGCGTATTATTAACAACAACAAAAACAAACAGAATAATATTCATTATATAGAATTTTAGATTTTTGGCTGTAGCATGTGCAGCAACCACATCATTTTACACAATTCAAAATGTTTTAAACTTTCCAACACACACGCGGGATTAGTTCTGTGGAGAAATTGAAAATTTATTTAGAAATAATGTCAACCAGTTTAGCAATAAATAACAATGCCAAAACTAAAATGTGGAAAATTTGTTATTTGTATTATACCTGGTGTCGTTTTTGGTAAATAAGTGATTAATGTCTGCGATGAAAATATGTTTTTAACAAATTATAAAATTTATTTGCCGCATATGGTGATGCTTACACCTGCACCTATTTACATTTACCTTTACTTATATTGAAATCTGAATGACTGACGAAATAAAATACATACAAAAAGTTCTTGCGCAAGAAAACAAAAAAGTGGCAAAAAAGTAATTTAAATCTTTTTCGTAAAGAACTTTTTTGCTGAATTTTGAAATCAAGTACGATTCGAGTTTAAATCAAGCACATTTTGTGATTAATAAATTTTGTTTTAATTCTTAAATCAATCTTATTTTTATCTTAAATCAAGTAACCAAACGAGCTTAATAATCAGTACATTGTTAGACCCCATTGACCCTAAAAAGGATTAAATTAAGTGTTTTGTACTTAACGGATCCGTTCTTTAATCGACTGAACATCTGTGGTCTAGTATTATCTAAAATGACAATTATATACAATTTAATTTTTTAGAAAACCCGTCCAAAGCTTGAGACAAACTAATAAAATTTAAATGTGACCGTGATCGTCCTCTGCTGACTAATAAGGACAATTAGAATGAATGAAACGACAGAGTTTAAACGGACAGATTTCGATATGCTTTTCGATATGCAGCCTTGGCTGCCTAATTTACAAGCAATTTGCTCTAGAACTCGAGCTATCTAATATCTGACCATTGCTACTCCGTTGCTTAACTACCGAGATGCAAAAACATCTCATCCGTTTACAACCACACAGATGGGATGGTACCTATTGAAGTAATCGTTAGACCGAAACACGAGTTCATCAAATAAGTGGAAGACTTGTTCTTACTCACAGAGAACACACGGATATGAATAGAGAAAATCCTGAACATACCCGGACTAGGAAGGAAAATACGATTATATTACTTGTATATGATGCCTACATCCATCAACATTTAACCCAGCACGCTTTTCACTCTTTCGACGCACTCATTGATTGAAGGTATACGGATGGGGAAGGCCGCATACTCTACATCTATCCCGTATCACAACACTTCACACCAATTCATTTTCAATTCTTAGTCCCACAGTCGTGGCAACAGCACCGAACTTATCCCGAATTATATACTTTACCGTGCATTAGTCTTTTAACGAACATTCTCTTCTCCCGAATTTGGATTTAAACCACAGCCACAACATGCTCCCCGAAAGGATCTCTCCAATAACCGCGACAAGACAAAGTCTGAAACTCTGTCCTGTGGTTTAAACCCGGTTTCCGTGACACCAGATTATGTGATTTTCTTGGTTCGAACCCATGTCAAATGATTCCAAGGAATGACCGGGAGTATATTTGATCATCACCAGTTTATAATTCCGGCAGACTAGAAGTATTGGCAGCAACTCTTTTCCCCGGAATTGCAATTACACCAAGATGGGGGAAGTCTAAACGGACAATAGACAGAGTAATTTTCAGTATGACTTGATGCAATGAAGTTGAGTTCTTATTATGACACAAAGAAGATAAGTTTTCAGTATAACAAGAAGTGGACGGTTGTACAATTAAATCTTTTTCTTTAAATAATAATAAAATAGTCTTAAGTTTGGACAAGTGTGTTGTAAATATTAAAATTGGGGGCTCAGCCTATATTTCTGGACTTTTATATTTTGCATAAATAAATAATACGTTTCCTACAACGACGCAGTCCGTGTTCAACTTGTAATGAATATAGATAAGGTGATTAATTTTGTACTATAAAAGCCTCAAATCAAAAGTTAATAAGACTTTTTTGTTGATTTAATCAAAATAAATGAAACAATGCTATGTAAAATACAATTAAATTTTATTAAAGTTACGTGCAATAAACAGTAACACGCACAATTTTGTATAATTTTTTTCTATAAATATTTTCTTTATTGCTGTTTGGACTCTTTATATTAACAAATATAAACAAATGCTTTTCTTCAGTAAGAAGAAGGTAAAACAGGAATTAAATTAAATAAAGTTAAATAAATAAAATAGAAAAACTATGGTTTATTACGTGCCAGTTAAGACTAAATAATGGTAAAGAACAGGTAGTCAAACAAGTCAAGCATCAGATTGTTGCTACTTGCACTCATAAACTCAATTTAGCACGCAACTGTCAGCAGGAACGCCGGAAGGAGGAGGAACAACAGCTCTAGAATAAATTCATTACAATCGTCTACGTTTTTTTTTCTGAGTAGCATTACAATGCTATTGTGCGATTTGCTTGTTCTCGGCACCTTTCTTTGCTTTTGATTTTTTGCCTTGAACTTTCTTCGACTGTTTCGCCAACTGCTGCTGTTGATCATCGTCATCTTCAGGTGGATTGATGCGTTTAAAGAGCACAGCATCGGCACGTGACAGACAACCTTCAATGGGTGGCTCTATGACATCGTTGGCCACCAAACCAAAATGGTCCTTCAAATTCTTCCATAAACGCTGATTCCAAGGCACTCCCAATTTATCCAATAATCTAGTGGAGAGTTGAGGCAATAGGGGCTGCAATACAATACCACACAGACGTAAAGTATCCATTGTCATGGCCATAATGGTTTCAAGCCTTAAGGCATTCTCATCACACTGGGGCAGCGGTATTTTAATTCTTTTTGAATCCTCGGTAATAGTTTTCAATTTTAATTCCCAAGGACGTGAGGTTTCGAAGAAACTATTAGCTGCATGTAATGTTGACATAACACAATCCGCAACCATATAAAAATTTCTATCATTATAATGTTGAGTGCACTTGGCTGCAAGCAGTAAATTTTAATAGAGCAACATGGAGAAGAAGTAGAACAAAAAGTCGTCCACGTCCACCATCATTAAATTGTGGCCACAATGTTATTAGATAAATGTTGGTGTGGTCGTCAGCCGCAGGAGTGTGGGTCACACATAAAAGAATATACAAAAAAAAGGCAAATTGTTTTAGTAAGTTAATAGATTAAAAAACAGTTTTATATTTCTCTCAGCTATCTTCCTTCTATTTAAGTTCTAGTGCGAGTTTGTGATGTTAAGCAAAGGAATTTCCTTAATTATTATTAAGTTTTACAAGCAGTGAGAAAACTAAAAATGTAAGGAGATTGCATTAGTTCGAAAATGAAAAGTGGAATAGCAGCTTGATTATAAAATATTGCAAATTCCTTGAACAACATCACTACATCACTTGAGCTAGAGCTGTGATACATAAAAACAGCTTGTGATTATCATGATAATGATGTATAAGATTGCAAAAGGATAGTAAGGATGTAGCTGGTGATGCAGATGAGGAAAAAAAATATTTGTTTGGTTAGTTGCATGCAATAACAACAACAAAATAATGTTAATAATAAAACAATAATGTTGCTCTAGTGGTGATAGTTGCTGGTGGTTTATGCAATTATGGCAAAAAAGGATATTTATTGTTGCTTAAGCTGCTTAAGTGTAGTAGCAATTGTTGGAGTTGCAGTGTTAGTGTTGTTGTTAGTGGTTGGTTGTACATAATAGCGCAAAAGTAGTACTGGCATTAACAACATAAAGATGGTGCGCTTTAGTACTGGTTATTATAAATTATTTTATTACATAAAGTTTTATTTTTATTTAATCTTATTACAAACTAAAGTACAAATAATATAAAGCAGATTTTTTTACACAACGATTATTTACACAACATCAAAGCATACTTAAGTTAATGTTTTAAATAATTTTTTTAATGAAATAAATACAAAATAAAAATAAATGCAAAGCATTTTATCAGACAAAAGATAAAAACTTTATGAAAAATTGCTCAAAATTAATATAAACAAAAAAATGGAACACTTGCGTTATTAAATTTATAGGACACGAATTATTTAATAGGTTAATATATACACTAGGTAAAATTTTGCTGTATAAATCTTTAATATGTCTGATTTTTTCTTTAATATATGCACATTAAATTTAAATTTTTAATTCCCTTAGTAACACATTAAAATATTGCTCATAAACACACAAAGTTTGACATATTCTGGCGTTCCCATGATCTTCGCTCCGGAACGAGCGCAAACTGTGCCAGTCGAAAGAACTATCAGCCACAGTCGAACCGTTACAACAGTGAATATCTATAATATTCTGTCCGTCTATTTGTTGCTACTGGGCTGATTTTACAAAAATATTCTCAATTGATTAAATTTTGTTGGTATCGAAAATAAGCCATGTCCATCTAAGAAAAAATTTAATAAAATGTCCGTCCTTCCGACATTCAACCATATTTAAACACGATAGGGTGTAAAGATTGTCTTATATTTAAATGGGATAGATAAAGGAGCCTTTAACACACGCTCGATGAGAACTTGTCCCACATATGCCTTGCTATTGTATTTTCCTCTTTTGCAGATTTAGTCAAGCATAAGTGTTGCAAATTAATTAATTACCAACCAAGGAGATCTAACGGGCAACTTAGCCTACTAGTCGCGCATAGACCGTGCCGTCCCCAATATATGCCCAGCATGTGGACAGGATCCCATGATACCCATCACATTTTCAACTGTTCAGCCGACCCTACTTCACTTAGCCCAATGGATTTATGGACTAACCCTATTAAAGTAGCCCAATTTCTTGGCTTGGACCTAAATACAGAAGCCCCGGATTAAAAATTGTATAGTTTAAGCTGTTACAACAACAACAACAACAGGAAACTTATGTTTCTTAAGAATAGAACCTTTGAGGTTCTTCTCAATTCAATCTAAAAACTTGAAAATTTAAGAATAATTTTGGCAAGAAACACTTAATATAAGTACACATCGGAATTGATTCCGAGATAGAGCGCAGAAATTATTGAAATTAGTGTAAAAACCTAGATACTAATTTCTTACATGTGTGAACTATAAAATACATTAATTTGCATTCTAACATATAATTCTCATTCAGTTAATGATATATTTGAAATAAGTAGTTGAATTTTGGAAAAACAAATTCACTATTCTCAAAATGTTCAAGTGCGAATCGAGTTCAAATCAAGAATTCTATTCTTGAACAAAACCTATGAATATTTGTTAAACTTTTCTTTTATAAAATACTAGCTATACCCAGTGTGCTTCGCTACCCTCATCGTAATGGAATAAAATAAATATTATTGTAAATGTATATATATCTGCAATATCAAAAAGTCCCCTATTTAAATTTATGTTTATATATTCAATATTTTAGAAAACTCAAAAAGTACCAATGAAGTACGAAAAAGTAACAAAAGACCTCTTTTATTTAATTTAATGTATCTAAGTTCAATATTATAGAAAATTAAAAAAGTACCAGTTGTAGAACGAAAAATTACCAAAGGGTCCCCTTTTATAGATTCTCATTAACTCCGGGCTCCACATGGTTAATTTCACGTTATAAAAAACACAAAAAGTACCTTTTGAAGAACGAAAAATTACCAAAAAGTCCATTTGAAGAACGAAAAAGTACCAAAAAGTCCCCTCTTATAGATTCTCATTTACTCCAGGCTCTATATGCTTAATTTCATGCTTCTAGGATCAATATTATAGAAAATTCAAAAAGTACCTTTTGAAGAACGAACAAGTAAGAGTGTTATATTCGGCCATGCCGAATCTTATATACCCACCATCAAATCATCCTTATAAATAAACTTTGATATTATCGATCTATGTTGAATCATATGTCGATATTATTATGAACATCAGGGAAATATTTGGAAGAGGGAATTTAATAAAGGCTTAAGCATGGACCGTGCTCTTCCGAATTAAAAATATTAATTTTGTTTGATCCAATATTTATAACCATAAACTCATACAAAACTTGTTTATGTGAAATTTCATCGCTGTAGTCGCATTTGAGCGTTACAGCCAGTAACGAGCGTTACAGTCACTATCTGAGGGGGACCTTATATGGAGGGTGGGGTCAGTTATAGACCGATCCCCATAAAATGTGATAAATAGTTTTTGGCTAGTACAAAACTTGTTTACGTAGAATTTCACTGCTGTAATAGCATTTTTGAGTCAGTAATAACAATACGAAAATTGTTTATGTCGTACTCAGTACTCGCAGTTTTAAGCTAGTAATGAGCTTTAAAGTCATTTTCTGAAGGGGACCTTACAAGGGGGATAGGGCTAATTAAGGACCGATCCTTATAAAATTTGATAAAGAACTTTTGGCTCACACAAAACTAGTTTGTGCCTTAAAGTCATTTTCTGAAGGAGACCTTATATGAGGGGTAGGGTCAATTATGGACCCACCCTCATAAAATTTAAGAAAATGATTTTAGTTCCTATACAAATTTTTTATGTCGAATTTTAATGCTATATATATGCACATATGTTTCTTAAGGACAGAAATGAGCATTAAAGTCATTTTCTGAAGGGGACCTTGTATTGGGGGTAGGGTCAATTATGAACCGATCCTTATAAAATTTTACGAAGAGATTTAAATTCTTATAAAACATATTTGTGACGAATTTCATCGCTATTGATGCTTTTCTTAGCCAGTCATGGGCGATAAAGTCATTTTCTGAAGGGGACTTTATATGGGGGGTAGGGTCAATTATGGACCGATCCTTATAAAATTATATGAAGAGATTTATGCTCCCATAAAACATGTTTGTGCCGAATTTCACCGCTATTGATGCTTCTCTTAGCCAGTTATGGGCGATAAAGTCATTTTCTGAAGGGGACTTTATATGGGGGGTAGGGTCAATTATGGGCCTATCCTTATAAAATTCCACGGAAAGATTTATGTTCCTATAGAACATGTTTGTGCCGAATTTCACCGCTATTGATGCTTCTCTTAGCCAGTTATGGGCGATAAAGTCATTTTCTGAAGGGGACTTTATATGGGGGGTAGGGTCAATTATGGACCGATCCTTATAAAATTTTACAGAGAGATTTAGGTTCCCATAAAACATGTTTGTGCCGAATTTCACTGCTATTGATGCTTCTCTTAGCCAGTTATGGGCGATAAAGTCATTTTCTGAAGGGGACTTTATATGGGGGTAGGGTCAATTATGGACCGATCCTTATAAAATTTTACAGAGAGATTTAGGTTCCCATAAAACATGTTTGTGCCGAATTTCACCGCTATTGATGCTTCTCTTAGCCAGTTATGGGCGATAAAGTCATTTTCTGAAGGGGACTTTATATGGGGGGTAGGGTCAATTATGAGCCTATCCTTATAAAATTTTAAAAAGAGATTTAGGTTCCCATGAAACATGTTTGTGCCGAATTTCACCGCTATTGGTTCTTCCCTTAGCAAGTTATGAGCGATAAAGTCATTTTTGAAGGGGACTTTATATGGGGGGTAGGGTCAATTATGGACCGATCCTTATAAAATTTTACAGAGAGATTTAGGTTCCCATAAATCATGTTTGTGCCGAATTTTACCGCTATTGATGCTTCTCTTAACCAGTTATGGGCGATAAAGTCATTTTCTGAAGGGGACTTTATATGGGGGGTAGGGTCAATTATGAGCCTATCCTTATAAAATTTTAAAAAGAGATTTAGGTTCCCATAAAACATGTTTGTGCCGAATTTCACCGCTATTGGATCTTCCCTTATAAAGTTATGAGCGATAAAGTCATTTTCCTTTATAAAATCCTTATAAAATTTTACAGAGAGATTTAGGTTCCCAAAAAACATGTTTGTGCCGAATTTCACCGCTATTGATGCTTTTCTTAGGCAGTTATGGGCGATAAAGTCATTTTCTGAAGGGGACTTTATATGGGGGGTAGGGTCAATTATGGACCGATCCTTATAAAATTCTAGGAAGAGATTTAAGTTCCCATAAAACATATTTGTGCCAAATTTCACCTTTATTGGTTCTTCCCTTAGCAAGTTATGAGCGATAAAGTCATTTTCTGAAGGGGGCCTTATATGGGGGCTAGGCGAAATTGTGGACCGATATTGCCCATTTTCAATACCAAACAAACTGCATCAACTAGAAGTATCTGTGCAAAATTTCAGCTCGCTAGCTGCTTCCATTTGGACTCTATCGTGTTTTCAACAGACAGACGGACAGACGGACGGACATGGCTAGATCGTCTTAGAATCTTATAAGGACCCAGAATATATATACTTTTATGGGTCTTAGACGAATATTTCAATGTGTTACAAACGGAATGACAAAAACAATATACCCCCCATCTTTTTTGATGGTGGGTATAAAAAGTACCAAAAAGTCCCCTTTTATAGATTCTCATTTACTCCAGGCTCTACATGCTTAATTTCATGCTTCTAGGATCAATATTATAGAAAATTCAAAAAGTACTTTTTGAAGAACGAAAAAGTACCAAAAAGTCCCCTTTTATAGGTCCTCACTTAATTCGAGCTCTACATGTTTAATTTCATGTTTCTAGGTTCAATATTATAGAAAATTCAAAAAGTACCTTTTGAAGAACAAAAATGTACCAAAAAGTCCCTTTTATAGTTTCTCACTTAATCCAGGCTCTACATGCATACTTTCATGTTTCTATTTTCAATATTATAGAAAATTCATAAAGTACCTTTTGAAGAACAAAAAAGTACCAAAAAGTCCCTTTTTATAGATTCTCATTTACTACGGGCTCTAAATGCTTATTTTCATGTTTCTAGGTTCAATTTAATAGAAAACTCAAAAAGTACCAGTCGAAGGACGAAAAAGTACCAAAAAGTCCCCTTTTATAGATTCTCATTTACTCCAGGCTCTACATGCTTAATTTCATGCTTCTAGGATCAATATTATAGAAAATTCAAAAAGTACCAGTCGAAAGACGAAAAAGTACCATAAAGTCCCCTTTTATAGATTCTCATTTACTCCGGGCTCTACATGCTTAATTTCATGTTTCTAGGTTAAATTTTATAGAAAACTCAAAAAGTACCAGTCGAAGGACGAAAAAGTACCAAAAAGTCCGCTTTTATAGATTCTCATTTACTCCGGTCTCTACATGTTTAATTTCATGTTTCTAGGTTCAATATTATAGAAAATTCAAAAAGTACCTTTTGAAGAACGAAAAAGTACCAAAAAGTCTCATTTTATAGATTCTCATTTACTCCAAGCTCTACATGCTTAATTTCATGTTTCTAGGTTTAATTTTAAAGAAAACTCAAAAAAGTACCTGTGTAGAACGAAAAAGTAGCGAAAAGTCCCTTTATTATTAATTTCATGTTTCTATTTCAATATCATAGAAAACTCAAAAAGGACCAGTTGGAGAATGAAAAGTACCAAAAAATATCACTTGATACCGGGGTTCCAAATAACACCCCATTAGGATATTTAGTGTTTCTAAATTTAAAAATTTTATCTAAATTGGATCATTGTGGTTGAATACAATCAAATTTCCCGTTTTTACCCCTTTTGGTACTTTTTTCCTCCCCATTAACGAAATAAAAATTTTATTCCAAAAAGTTGCAACATCGTAGTGGGAGCCCGTTATTATGTATTCATATGTATAAGTTAATAAACCAAAAACAATGTTTTATGAAAAAAGTACCAAAAATAGGTACAATTTTAACCCCTTAAACGTCCGAATATCCAAAAAGTACTAAGTTCATATTTTTATTTTTTCGTTAAGTTATGAAGGAGTCAAAAATATTTTTTGAATGTGCACTGGTTTAAAAAATACTTGGGGTGCGAAAAAAGTACCAAAATACAGTTTTTACCCGTTTATTCCCTAAAGGGTCCGAATTTTAAAAAAGTACCAGACACCTGTGCGTTTATTTTTTAAATGAACGGCGATAAGCATTAAACTGTTTTTGTATCTTTTCTAGTTTAGGAGATATAAGGTTACCGAATTTACCCGTTTTTACCCTTTTTTACCCCCTAAACATTCGAATTTCCAAAAATCCCGTCTTAGTGGATCTATTTGGCGGGAGACCAACCTCCTGTCCAAATTTCAGCTCTTTAGCTTCAACCGTTTAGGCTGTGCGATGATGAATCAGTCAGTGAATCAGTCAGTCAGTCAGTAACGTTAGAATTTTATATATATAGATTATAAATTCTGAAATTAAGTAGGAATTGGTCTCATATTAAGAAAACAATTCTTGAAATATTTAAGCTCAACCGCTCAATATAAATTTTAGCGTAGAAAGTTGAGGAGTTGTAGAATATTTGTGATGTCGGATAGTCAAGCATCACTTAATGCTTTACTATGTCAGGAGTAGACATAGACAGTTTGTGATGAAAGGATTTTCACAATGAATTAACTCTGTATTGGATAGCTGGCCGTAAAGATCGCTCTGGCCATAACGGGCCACTTGTTTGGCCAATAGAGATGCTCGGAGCTTGTTTATTGGACCAGCACTTTTTTGACATTCCCAGCAAATATGTGTGATTCATGGAACGAATCTGAGTTTATTCACCATTGGGGAACAATATCAGAGTTCAGACATACAAAGTTCTTAGTAACGCAGTCTAAGGGTAAATTCCAAAAATTATTGTCGTTTAATAAAAGCAAGTTATAAACATTATCGGAATTATTTACTGGACATTGTCGTCTTAGAGACCAGCAGTCCATTTAGGCTCATTCTACGATAAGGCTAGGATACAATTGAGAACAATTGATGACAAGGATACAATTGAGAAGACTTTTCGACATAATAACGTAGGAGTTAAGGTCCTTGATTGATGCAAAGCTGTCCAAGTAGATATGTATAGTCAAATTTTCGAGATTCAATTCCCAGATTCTACTCGCGGCTGTATTGATTAATATATGTAAATGTGTATAGAATTTGAATTCAACGCAAACATATTAATATATATGCATATTAAAATATCGGTGAGGTTAAGTTCAATATTATTTTTCTTTTATTTCTGCATTAAATCGTAATTACACTTTGACACCAATATTTAATAAATATAAAACACTCGCAAAAACTACTAAAACCGCAATATAAATGAAGTTTAAAAAGTATAAAAAATAATAACAATATAAACAAACCCAAAAGAGTAAATAAATTATGAAAATATTTAAAGCTTTAAAGGAATAAAAAGACGCAAAACATAAAACAAATAAGACAAATTTATACAGTTAGTGGCCAATAATGCAAACACTCATACCCACACAAGTCATTCACACTTCTAACCAACACACACAAATAAAAACAGATTTAATACAAAAAGCCACTTACCATCCAGTTGTTCCAACGAATCCCACAGATGTCGTGCACTATCCGTCTTTAGAATATCGCGCAATTGTGCTGTATGGACACGAGGATAAATTTGTCGTGGATTCAGAGATTTAGCACAAACGCGTGATAGTAGATTACCCAGAGTATCGGCTAGTTCAGCATTTAATATACGCATAGCTTTAATGCTGCTATAATCTGCAAAGAAAGAAAAAAAATAGAACGCAAAAAGAAAATAGAATTAGTTAAATAGAGAGATTCCAGTAAGAAGTAGAGAAAGAATGAAAAATAAAATGTGTAGAAGATTTAAATCGTGCTATTGGGAAAAATGTAATAACTATACATATTTGAGGGTATACTTAGTTGATATTGAATTAAGAATTTATATTTTTTAATATTTAAGGCATTTTGTTTATTTAAAGAAGTAGTAAATAGACATAATGGATCAAGAGTATTTTCGTAGAACTTTTATAATACTCTTTACAAATAAGAGTTTAGGTTTTTCTCTACTTGATTTAGTAGCCCTCTTCCTTCGATATATTCGAAGGATTTCTGACATTTCCATATATATTTCAGAGAATTTCTGTCTCGAATATTTTTGTTCATATCGGATTAGCGAAAGCTGCCTTATAATCGACAAAAAGAGTTGCGTATCAATTTGTTTTCCCTTAGACTTTTTTTGAATTTTTAAAAATTTTGTTCGAAAATCGATTTTCTAAGCCCAACGCCACATTGATATTGTCCGATTATTTCGTTAACTTCTAGATTTGACCGAATCTTGTATGCATAGAACCTAATAAGAGCCTAGAACAAATTATTATGATATATAGATTTATCACACACGGGTATAAAACATATCCTCTCTAGTATACATAGGAGGATGTATACTATATCAAATCCGAAGAAATACACCTAGGCCACTATCGGGCCTGTTGTGCGCTCCAATTCAAGAAAAAAAAATTGTTCACTGAATGTATTATTTTTCCATGTTCAGAAACTCAGTTTCCTGGACGTAATTCCTAAGAATCTTTCAATCGTGTTGGTTAAGAATGTTATTTCCGGAATAACATCACTTCCAAGATACTTGGATCTAACTTCGACGAATGCCTGACAATGGCAAAGAAAGTGCTCCAGAGTTTCACTGTCCTCTCCACATGACACAGACTTGCTCATTTTGAGGAGATTTCTCGTCTTGCTCTCATCAGGGTCACCCCATAGAATCTTTGTGGTTCTACCCACCGTTTCATTATTCCAAGAGGCCTTATGGGACTCTCTCATCCATATTTTTAATTCAGCTTTTGCGTTTGTCAGGTTAACTACATCGAGCTCCCTTTAAAGCTATTCCTTTCGTTGCCGACTACTCCCGAGTGGCCTGGTACCCATATGGTGTGAACCTTACCTCTGGGAGAGTATTCAGTTAAAGCTTTCTTACAATCCAATACGGTCTTAGATTTAATTCTATCACCTGATATCGCACTAATTGCCTTCTGGCTGTCGGTAAATATATTAAGCCCTGTGGCCGCCATATTTATTCTAATCCAATTTACACATTCCGTTATTGCTCGTTCTTCTGCCTGGAAGCTTGTGTTATGATTAGGTAAACGGTGGTATATTTCTGTTTCTGGGTCTTCAATATAGAACCCCAGGCCCACTTTGTCCACTAATTTAGAGCCATCCGTGTAGCAACGGATTCCTACTGGTATTTGCTCTAATGTTCCGCTTGACCAAGACATTCTATCTGGGATTAGCGTTTCAAAGTTTCCGACATATTCTGTGTCTGGTATGCGATGTCCTCTCTAAGTCGGGGATTTTGTAAAACCTTTGATCATAATATGTTGTTGCTGTTGCCCTTTCGTCTTGTTCAATACAATTAAAACTACCCAGAAAAAACTTGGTAATGACCTGTATTTACGTCTGCATTACTTTTAAGTACTCTTATAATGTCTTACCTATAATCAGATACATAAGTACCTTAATATGAATTTTGTAGTTTTGTTTGATCATACGACAGCATACTAACGAATAAGGGTGCGTATTCTACGGGATTGTAAAACAAAAAGTTTACATAACAACTTACTTTTTAATGACTGCATTACTTTTAAGTACTCTTATAATGACTTACATATAATCAGATACGTAAGTAATTTATTATGAATTTTGCTTTTTTATTTGATCGTACTACAGCGTACTAACGAACAAGGGTACATAGAATATGCGTAAAACAACTATTTAACTACCTATTTGTAGGTACTTATTTAAGTAAATATTTTTAAGCGAACGTGGTAAGTATTTGCTTCCAATGTCATTACCGTATTAGTGAAAACCGGTTTCTAAGCTTCTTAACTGATTACTCTACAATATAAGTTTTTGCTGTGTACATTTAGTCTCCATTTACATGTTAAAATTCAATCAATTATGTAGTTCTCTATCCCTAGATACTATATCGCATTTGTTGTTTACATTTCCCACATTTGCTGAATTTTTTTTCCATTTTAGAATTTGAAATTTTAGCAATATAATGAATTTAATTCGCAATATATTTTACCTTTTTTCCTTTGCTATTTTTATATGTAGGTATTTTTTCAACAATTTCTGATGACTCATTTTTCAATTAAAATTTGCAACTTTTAACCGGTGCTAAGCATTTGTTGTGTTTGTGTGGGCCTTTTGGCTGAAAAAAGGTAAAGCAACAACAAATATCCGTACATACTATGCTTTTAACCAATTTCAACATTTTAGCTAAATCAGCAAAGTTAATAATTTCAATCAAAGTAGCCAAGAGAAATTTTACCATCAGAAACAGACGTTAGTTAAGCTTTGGCAACAAATACATACATATAAACAATTTAACAACTACAGTTAGGGAAATGGGAGTATTGAAAGGCTGTAACAGCAAAATGCCAAAAAGGAAATTAAATAAAATTTGTTTACAAAATAGCTAAAATTGAAATTCTTTATAAGACAATTTAAGTTGGAAAGGATTTTACAGTGATAAATTGTTAACTAAAGTTAATTTGTATAGCCTTGACCAACTGGCCAAAGGTAAGCAAAAATTGTGTTTAAAAATCACCCACAAAAAGATTTTATTTAACAATTGTTACAAACATATTTAAAAAAATATAAAACATCACAACAATAGAAAAAAAGTAACAAAATACTACAAAAAAACAAGCTTAAAATCATTTATACTCAAAAAACAACCACACGCCTACATACCGACAAAATAACTATAGAACACAAGAGGCCTAAAGTTTTAAATCAAAAATATTCCAACAATAAACGTTAGAGAAAGAGAAATAAATGAAAGAAAAAATAAAAATGATTTTTACACACTAACACCTTTTGTTGTGGTCCAAATGCAGCACAAAGAAAATATAGGCGTTATTTTGAAATATAAAAGTTTTCACATTTTTTTTTTTGTGTTTCTATTTTACCAACAAAGAACAATAGCATTTGAAAACAAAGTTAATGTATTATGGAAATTAAACAAATACTACAACACATTGTATTTAAATACTAATACATACACACAAATGTTAATAAAACTTTTGAAATAAAAGAAATAAAACTTTAAATAAAAATTTACTGAAAATTGTCTTCAGCCTGAGAATAATTTAAAGATTTTAATAAGAAATTATACTGGACACATTGGAAGGTTATACACATTCATCGGACGTGCCTGATCGCATACCAGACACAGAATATGTCGGAAACTTTGAAAAGCTAATCCCAGATAGAATGTCTTGGTCAAGCGGAACATTAGAGCAAATACCAGTAGGAATCCGTTGCTACATGGATGGCTCTAAATTAGGGGACAAAGTGGGCCTGGGGTTCTATATTGAAGATCCAGAAACAGAAATATACCACCGTTTACCTAATCATAACACAAGCTTCCAGGCAGAAGTACGAGCAATAACGGAATGTGTAAATTGGATTAGAATAAATATGGCGCCCACAGGGCTTAATATATTTACCGACAGCCATAAGGCAATTAGTGCGATATCAGGAGATAGAATTAAATCTAAGACCGTATTGGATTGTAAGAAAGCTTTAACTGAATACTCTCCCAGAGGTAAGGTAGTCGGCAACGAAAGTGCGAATGTAATAGCTTTAAAGCGAAGGGAGCTCGATGTAGTTAACCTGACAAACCAAAAGCAAAACCATTCGACGCAACAAAAGCTGAATTAAAAATATGGATGAAAGAATCCCATAAGGCCTCTTGAAATAATGAAACGGTGGGTAGAACCACAAAGATTCTATGGGGTGACCCTGATGAGAGCAAGACGAGAAATCTCCTCAAAATGAGCAAGTCTTAGGTTAGTATGATGGTACGTATTTTGAGTGGACACACAGGATTACGTGCACATCTATACAAAATTGGACGTGCGGATTCAGACGAATGTAGAGCATGTGGAGAGGACAGTGAAACTCTGGAGCACTTTCTTTGCCATTGTCAGGCATTCGTCGAAGTTAGATCCAAGTATCTTGAAAGTGATGTTATTCCGGAAATAACATTCTTAACCAAAACCGATTGGAAGATTCTTAGGAATTACTTCCAGGAAACTGAGTTTCTGAACATGGAAAAATAATACATTCAGTGAACAATTTTTTTTTCTTGAATTGGAGCGCACAACAGGCCCGATAGTGGCCTAGGTGTATTTCTTTGGATTTGATGTAGTATACATCCTTCTATCAACCTAACCTAATAAGAAATTATATAAAAGCTTCAGGTTTGATACAAAAGCTAATGCTAACGTATTGGTGAAATAAAAAGATTCTTTGGACGCCTAAAAACCTGTCTTGTTTAAGTTTTGAATATAGTCCTTCGATATGTGTCCTCTATTCGTTATTTCTATAACAATTAAATTTTTAAATTTCATTCAAACATACACACACAAAAGTTTCTTTAAAGTTTACTTTTTTCTTTCAATATTGTCCTGCTAGAGAAAATAAAATTTTTTTGCAACATATTTCTTCACACATACTTTACAAGTCTTAGGAAGATTTAGTTTTCTGGCAACAAAACTACATCATATTCAACTCATAAAAAAAGCTATACCAGATTTCAAATCCTATTCCAACTAAATAAGAACAACAAGTTGTTGTCTTAAGGCATCAAAAAAAAAACGAAAGAAAATCACATTAAACACTAACAAAAATTCCCTAACAGAACTTAAGTTTTTCTTGTAACTTTTACT